TGGGATTTACAGCCTGGGAAATTTGATGGAGGTTCACTGGTAGTCAGAATTGACTCAACAGCATTGAGCTGGAGTTTGCATTTTGACCCAGACGCTAACATCAGGGTATATGCTGTGATTTTTTAAATACTTTGGAAAACTCTAACTGCAGGTCAGTAATGTTGGTGCTTCCTTCACTTCCCAACAAGACGAATTGTGGTAGAGCTCACTCATGGCATAAACAGATGCTCCTTGGCACCTCCTCCCACTGCTGTTAATGAGTAAACGGTTAATAAGCTGTTAAGTGGCTGCAGTGACAGCTGCCACGTGGCTTTCCTTGTCCGATGATTCTTCAGCCGTGCCACAGAGATGTCCCACTGGGAAATGTACACACCACATGACGGAGAACCTTTGCTCAGAGGCCACGGGCTTAGAATGGAGCCAGGCTGCAAGGACCCCACAGTCCCTGAACAGACAGTGAGACCTGTAGGTTCTCCTACATGATGCCCAGGTAACCCTGTGCGGCCTCTTCTTCTTCTGAATATTGTACTTTGGTGTGGAGCAGATGGCATGAAGCCAGAGCGACATGCTCGTAACTCTCTCCAAAAATGTGTGCACAGTCCATCTGTTAGTTCCTGGTGGAAAGGAGGGGAGGCAGAGAGACAGAGACGAGGAGAGAGGAAAAAACAAAAACAGCCCGCCATCAAGAGGAGGATCATCAGATACCAGGGCTCCTCTGGGACCTGAGTTAATTGTATGCTTGGAAAAATACAGCACAGACATTTCTTCCACTCTTTGACTTCTTAAGAGGTCTCTATCTACTCAATCTCAGGCATTTACGGAGCACCTGACATAGGGACTGTGCTCAGCACAGAAGGGGAAGAGAGCAACTAAATGTGGCAAGAGCTCTAGTGGCACTGTGGTTAGAAAGCACTAGAATGTTAGCTGATAAGTTAGCAGTTCAAACCCACTGACCACTCTGTGGGAGAAAAGGTGTGGCTCTGCTTCCGTAATGATTACAGTGTAGGAAACCCTAAGTTGCAGTTCTGCTCCATCCTGCAGGGTCGCTATGAGTTGAAATTGACTCAGTGACTGTAGGTTTTGTCCAAGAAGCAGCCTCTAGTCTAAGAAGAAGACAGACTCACCGGGGGCTTACCATGTAGGATGATGGGTATCGTGATAGAGATACCATCCCCAGTGACTGTGGCCACCTAGAGAGCAAAAACCAATTCAACCCAGAGAGTGGGAAGGCTTACAGCCAAGGTGGCCACGAACTGAGTCTCAAAGAACTAAGTTTGCCACATAAAGGTGGAGAAACATGGCTATCTAGGCAGTTGGACCAGCTGAGAGACGAGAGTAGGATAGTCTTTTCAAGGAGTAGAGGGTGCAGTGCAAGAGAGGGTGGGGATTGAAGATGGTGAGAGAGACTGGTGCCTAAGTGACTCACAAGCCAAGCTGTTGGAGTCTGAGCTTCATGCTTAAAGACAATGGCATGCGATATTTGCATGCTAGGACCCTTGTCTCAATACAGCTAGGAGAGTGGGATGGAAGCCGAACAAAATTGGTGGCTGGTGGACCTGTGTGGAAGTGGAAGGCTTCTCATTCATTCACTAAAAGGTTTGTTGAAAGATCTTTCCACAGGTCAGCACCTTATCAGACGTAATGACACACTCAATGCTGTTGGCTGGGATCCTGACTCCTTAGCCCTGCAGGACAGAATAGAACTTCCCTAGAGGGTTTCCAAGGCTGTCAGTTTGATGGAAGTACACCACTTCATCTACATTTTCAGGTTAAGGAAATCAGCACGTTGGAAGGAGAAGTGCATATGCTCAGGGTTATAACACTGACAACAGAGAGATTTTGACTGTGGCAATCTGCTCCGAACCCTAATATCCTTTTCTCTGCATCTCACTGCCTCACCTAGGAGTCCCAGGCTGATGTCTGATCTGAATGACACTCAGTGGGCCTGGGTTGACCCTCAGGTGGTCTAACACACTCCAACTTTGCTTTCAATGACCCTGGCCTTTGCAGGAGGCACCATGGTGGCCTGAAAGTGCAGTAGGCTCTGAGAGACAAGTTACCAAGCCAGGGAGCAGTGGGTGGAAGAGCTTGCTGTGCTTTGTTGATCCAGATAACCTATTTGTGATCATCAGGAAGAATGTGCAGAGACAGTCAGAGTGAAATCAGAGAAAGAAGAGGGTGGATACAAGGTATTCCCACCCTCACTCAGCACCATCAAATCGCAGCTGACTCAGTTCTGGCTCTTCATTGAGTTTCTGAGGCTGTAAATTGCCTGCAATATTTGTCCCTACAAAAATTGTCCCTCTAAGTTAAAATTGACATAATGGCAGTAGGTTTTGTTTTGGATTTAATGGCAGTTTTTTAGTGAAGAGTGACCCCTGCTAACTGGAAGGGTTAGTGCTTTGGAAACAAGTTAAGATGTCTAGTATTCTACCAATTTCAAACTGACCTCAAATACTGTTGCTGTAAACATGTATATAATGTAGCCTTTAAACAAGCTCATCTCATTGCAGTCAAGTCAGAACCTACTCAGAGATAACTGCCCAGCAGGTTTCAGAGGCTCTAACATGCACGGAAGGAGCTTGCCCTTCCCTCTTTTGTAGATGAGCTGATGGATTTGAACCACTGAGTGGTACTGCCTTTAGGCTAGCAGTGCAACTCCCTGGGAACTAAACCATCAGTGCTCCCTTCAAGGGATCCTATAAACTTCCACAGAGACCATGGGCAGGTGCTGTGGCTGGTGTGTCACTGCCATTGGGATCCTAAAAACATCCTAGACTGGTGCCTCATTCATACTCAGCCTGTGGCTTCTCAGATCCATCTACCCTGGGATCCAAAAATAGCAACATTTTGGCAGAGCGATAAACCAGGCTGTTGTTATTCACCATTGTAAGAACTTGGAAACAGCCCAAATGTCCAACCACAATGGCGTGGACTGAGAAATGGTACATTCACATGATGGAATACTATGCAGCACACAGGAGCAATGATTTTGCAAATTATTATCTAACTTGAGAGGGACTGGTAAGCATTATGCTAAATGAACTAACTCAGTCCTGTAAGGACAAATACTGTATAAGACCATTATTGTAGGATGTGTATGAGGGTCCAAGGGGAGAAGGGTGGGAACAGAAGGATGAGGATGGGCTGGGGTGGGAGGGAGGCGTTAATCACCGGGTCCCACAATTTGGTGGGTGAAGGGAGAGGTGAGTAAAGGAAATGGGAAAGATCCTGTGTGAAAAACAATGTATACAAACTTTGTAAATAAACCAGTATAAGATAAAAATTTTATTTTCACAAAAACAAACACAATAGGCTATTCCCTTGTAAGGCCTATTAGAGGTCTCTGAGAGGTGACTCTAGCAGGGCAGAGACTGGGTTCATCTGTCAGAGTCAGAGGCTTTTATGCAGTGAGGCTGGGATATCAACAAACAAAATAGAAGAATATCCCTCCAAGATCACATTAGCTCAGCTGCACTGGAATAAGACAGATAAGGAAACAATGGTGGCCACATTCAAAGCTTAGAGCATACCTTGTCTAAGCTCTCACATAATAATCTAATAACAACTGTGCCTGCTACTCTGTAGGTATTTATCACATGGATATGGATATTGTTGTTATTAAAGCATGTAGGGAGCTCTGGTGCTCTGGAGGGAAGAAGTTGTACTGCCAACCCCAAACCAGGAAGTTCAAAGCTACCAGTTACTGTGAAGGAGAAGGGTAGGCAGTCTCTTCCTGTACATTTTATAGTCTCTGAAAACCCACGAGAGGGTTGATTCTGACTCGATAGCAAGGAGAGTAAATGAATGATTAAAGCAAATATATCATCTGAAAGGAATAATGCAGCCAACAGTTATCATGGGTGTATTATTCTGAACACTCCCTGGATTTTTGCAGTGCCCAACCTGTACCACTGTATTAAGTGCCCTTCCATAGACCATAATATAAAATGTTTATAAAACTGTAGTGATGATAATACAGAAATAATAACAGTAATGTCTATTACTATCATCCATTGCCTGACTTATACCTCTTATGCAAGATATTTTTACTGAATAATTTCTAGGCTCTATCTCTACTTTAAATCTTAGCACTTGGTGCCAGCAATGGCTAGATAGGAAGTCTGTGCCAGGTATACTACTAGGCATCTCAGTGAAGCCTCTGACCAATGAAATAAAGAGACAATTTTTACACATATTACAGACATGATAACTAGCTCCTCAGAGAGGTGAATAGGTAAATAATCTGTTAATAAATGACAAAATGTGTATGCGGTGGAGGAAGCTCTCCATAAACATTACAAGTAGTAGTTTGAATTTTGACTCTGACTTCTAAAATTCCAGAATTGTAACACTTAGCAATTGCTGAGAAGGAATTGTTATAATTGTTAATTGTGTTATAATCTGGCTTCAAAACAAGGAGACTGAGTCATAAATCATGTAACCTTTAATTAATGCCTGCAGCCCAGCTCAAGAACGAGGAAGATTCAGACCCAGGGCTGCCTCTGGCTTCCTGTCCCCTGCCCTCCCCACTGAGAGCCTTGAACAACTAGAATATTACCCTAACACCTCACGTCCCTATAACCCCCTAAATGTGGTTTATTCTCACATTCCTATTTCTGTTTATGAGCTTTCTCCTCAGAGAAGAAATTCCCACCACCTTCTCCCAACTTCTCAAACTATCTAAAAAGTAGTATCTGATCTACCTCTGGCCAGCCTCACACCCAACCCTCCTTCATTTTCTACAGTGCACCTATCCCAGCCTGACCTTTTCTAGATATCTATTTGGTAGTCTTTGTTTCCCCATATACACACCACCACCACCACCTTGAAGATGGACTTCATGAAAGCAGGGACTTTAACCTAATTCCCTTTTACATCCCTGGCCCATAGCAAGCAGCCTGGCGCTTAAAAAGGTTTGGGATAAGTTTTGTCCAATCACCTGGATCAGTGATCCGTTCTTTCCCAGGATGCCTAACCCTTGTTTTCTGCCCTTCCAGGTTATGTTGCAATGGGCGCCGTCCTCCCATCCTTCTGGGGCCAGCAGCCCCTCGTCCAACAGCAGATCGCCATGGGTGCTCAGCCACCAGTCGCTCAGGTGATGCCGGGGGCTCAGCCCATCGCGTGGGGCCAGCCGGGGCTGTTCCCTGCCACTCAGCAGCCCTGGCCCGCTGTTGCCGGGCAGTTTCCGCCAGCCGCCTTCATGCCCACACAAACTGTTATGCCTTTGCCAGCCGCCATGTTCCAAGGTCCCCTCACCCCCCTTGCAACTGTCCCAGCCACGAGTGACTCCACCAGGTCCAGTCCGCAGACCGACAAGCCCAGACAGAAAATGGGGAAAGAAATGTTTAAGGATTTCCAGATGGCCCAACCTCCACCCGTGCCCTCCCGCAAACCCGACCAGCCCTCCCTCACCTGTACCTCAGAGGCCTTCTCCAGTTACTTCAACAAAGTCGGGGTGGCACAGGATACAGACGACTGTGATGACTTTGACATCTCCCAGTTGAATCTGACCCCTGTGACGTCTACCACGCCGTCGACTAATTCACGTGAGTTGCCGTTTGTCCAAGGCGTAAAACCCAGAGTATGGTGTCTGGAGTCATAAGTGTATCTCACAAATGTATCCCAGTTACATTCAACTACTGTTGTTAAGCCACCAGTTGTTCTCAAGAGGATTCCGACTCGATTCTGCCCCTTATGTGAGAGTAGAATTGTATTCTGTGAGCTTTTCAGGGGCTTATTTTTGGAGAGTAGACTACCAAGACCCTTCTTTCATTGCCTCTGGATAAACTTGAGCTTAAGACTTTTGGTTAGCAGCCTGCTGTATTAACTGTTTACACCACCCTGGGACATTACTAGTAACAGCACCAGATGTATGTCCTGATAATGGCATAAGTATCTTCTCCATATTCTTTCTAGCTATTATTGTCTTATTAGTAGCAATACTTAGGACAAGTTTTATTAGATTTCTTTTACAGATGAAGAAAAGGAAGTTCAACAGCAAACACAACAGACAAAATGGTTGTTGTTGTTGATTGCTGTCGAGTCGAGCATGATTCATAGCAACCCTATGAATAAAAGACCGGAAACCTTTCTATAACTATTGTCGTTTCTCAAAGTTCATAGAGTTTCTAGAGGCATGATTTTTAAGAAGTGGATGCCACTCCTGCTTCCAAGCTAGATTAAAATACTAAATCAGTTGTTGTTGTTCTTTTTAAGTGCTCTTTTTAAATTGTAGTAGACTATGACTCATAGCGACCCTGTGAACAGTGGATCTGAATCCGGCCTCTCCTGTGCCATCCTAACCATCTCTGACATGCTCAAGCCCACCGGTATAGTCACTGGGTCAGTCCTACTGTTCCAATCACCGTGTCCATCTTGTCAGTGATTTTCTCCCTTTTTACTGACCCTTCAACCTTTCTAAGCATGACATCCATTTGCAAGAACTGACTCCTCTTGACAACATGCCCACTGTATGTGAAATAAAGTTTCACTATCCTTGCCTTCAAGGAGCACCCTGGCTGTATTTGTCCTTTTGGCAGTGCATGAAATACTCAGCACTTCTCTCCTACATCACAGCTCAAAAGCATGAATGATTCTTCTGTCATCCTTATTCATTGTCCAAGTTTCCTCTGCATAGCAAGTAACTGAAAAGATTGCAAAACACCTTAGTCTTCAAGCTGACATCCTTGCTCTTCAGCACTTTGGAGAGGTCCCTGACAGCTGATTTTCTCAGTGCAATATGTGTTTTGATTTCCTAGCTGCTAGTGCTAAGGATGTTGATTATAGAGCCCTTACCACTGGGTCACCAGAGTTGAAGATGAAATAGTAAATATAAATTTAAGAATTTCCAGAAGCAGTGATAAATACTTAGAAACTTAAGTGCAGGAACACTTGAGACAGAGGCACTACAGCCATCGGGGTTTTTAACCACCATTGAAGTTGAAGCCAGATTTTTATTCAAAGATTTTGATAGTCGGTGAGTAAAAAAAAAAAAATCTTGTAATAAAAAGTTCTTGACTGTTAACCAGAGACCATCATAATTACTTACTAGGTTTTTGCCTTTGGACAAACTCAACAACTCAATTCACTGCCATTGAAACAGAACCTACTCAATAGCTAATCATCCAGTGGGTTTTTAGAAGCTGTAAATGGCACAGGTGATTTCTCATCTTTCTGCCCACGAGCAACTAATAGATTTGAACTGCTTGCCTTTGGTTGGCAGTTCAACTCCTTAACCATTAGGCCACAGAGCTTCCTGCCTTGGACAAGTAATTTTAATTTGGTTAAACTATATCTAAAGGGGAAGACCCTCTATGAGATGGATTGATTCGGTGACTGGGGTAATCGGGATGGGTGTGTCAGAGGCGGTGCGGTTG